GTGTTTCAGCGGGTTATACGACACTTTACTGTCTGGAGTCAAGTAGAAGAGGCGATAAATACCTTTCAGAAAGTACGCTAAAAAGTCACTTGATGCTGGATGGCGGATAGGCATTACGTTGTCAAAGAATGCAATCTTTATATGGAAGATGGTAATTTAAAGTATCACTATGTCGCATTGGCATGCACTTTTGGTAACAGGAGAAAGTCGGGAGGTACTAAACAGTGAACTAAAGGGTGATGAAGAATTTGTTAAGAGCAGCATTTAGATCAAAGTATGTTGGTTGTCACTTTGGAATTCGGATACGTTTCGAGTTAAGTAGTTTTATTTTTTCAAATGTCGAGATGTTGCACGATCATCCATGCTATGTGGATTAGCTTGTGAAAGACCCTTGGTGGGGATGCCCAACGGAGGACGAATTGAGGGTTTCCAAACCAATGCTGACTGCGGCATCTGAACCAGACCACTTTATGGGGTAAGTGAAAGAAGTTATGTCAAAGGACGTAACGTATGGCTACCTGAAGAACATCCGGTGGAAAACTATGAAATGCAATTTATTCCCTGAATAACTTTTATTCTGCGGGTCACGAATCTCAAAGAATGGTGTTTGATAAATTGGGGAGTATTGGTCGGCCGCTAACTGGAAATGATGGTGAGCATTAGCAGGTGGATCGAGCATGCCTTGACAGCACCGATCAAATAGCCGCCTGCCCGCAATTTCCTGAGGTCGTATGTTTTGACTCAACCTATAGTACAAAGAAGCGGAAGTAAGTCTATTGTCATAGCGTTAGCAGAAAGAGTAGCCACAAATTGTTTCAGTTTGTTGCAATGGACAATTTTGGTAACAGTCACCCAGTTATGTTTGGGTGGACTAGTCCAGAACAAGGGCGGATATGATATGGATGTTATACATCCCTAGGCAGATAGTGGGTGAAACGTCACCCACATGGACATGTGTCACTGACTGTGCAAGGGCACTGAAGGCAGCTGTTGAGACTATCCTCCTGAAAATAGACGTAGTCTCCTGTGCATTCCACGTGTGCAGAGCATAAAGGTAAGCATTTCAAATGAGTGTTTATGTGCATTTAACTTGCAGACGCGGAATCCAATAATCAGACAATATCCGTGCAGATCAGTTCAAGAAGGGTCTACCAGCAGGTACGACACCAACAGTATGCTGACGTCCAACACGGGCGTTACGCCCATAACCTTGTCATCAACGCTATCAGCCAAGATACGGGTACGTATTTACTTCGCATGTGGAGGGGCTGTAAGCGCCCTTCGTCCCCTGCATTCTGCAACGAGGTCCCACCAACTTTTTAGGCATGGACGAGAGCCCTTAAAGACAGGTAAATCCAATTTCTTGCACTTAGATGGCAATATGGATTGTACTGTCAGACTTTACTGCCGAAAAAATGGATGATAAAAATAAAGTTGCGTAAGTCTATATTCCTCTTTGAAATTAGGTTTCACGAATACTTTTCATGCGCCATCCAAAATGTCCACTTATTTTCTTTTCCTACAGATCAACGATGTTGAACCTGCCTACTAGACTGTCATTTGTGTATGACTGCTCGCACAAACATATTTTATCGCGTAAATTGTCAAACTATTCTACCTCGTAATACAGGCTTTAGTTCTTAATAACTGCTTTTTCAGCACATTCATGGGTTACTACGGGCGCAGGTACATTTTCCTGCGTGATCCTGAAAACCATCGTATCAGTGTGCAGGCTGGTTATCGTTCAGTTGCGAATAATAGGAAAGTGTAGCTGGAAATCAAGGGATGTGCAGAGTAAAATAACAGTCGGGGTAATATGGGAGTTTGAATGGTTGGCAAAATTTATGCAAATGGAGTGGTAGTTAAATGTCATACTCAAAGCAGTTAAATACGTAACGGGTAGTATATTGAGGGGCTAATTAGGCAAGAGGGAAATGGCAGCTACACCACAGCAGGTAAACTGCCGGAATTGCACAACATATCACACCTTCCATTGCGCTAATTAGCTGTTTGGGATGGATGTTTTGCTCGATTTTCGGTAATACTTATACTCTTCGAGTTATTCGTGATTCATGTATAACGGTGTCTTTTACTTCTGCGTTGGCTTTGTGTAGCTATAGTATCAGTGCGTACAGTGTGTTCATGGACTGGCTGTCAAAAGATAGGCGAGCATCTGTGGGCATTCTGAGGAGTAAGACCATGGATCAAACGACTCTCCTGGAAATACGTAGCACAAACTGTAGCTCCCTACCGAAGAAAGCCGACTGTCTTCAGTCGCATCCGTAAATGTTTACCAGAACATGGGTGTAATGGTGCTGCAGAAAACATGGCTTCAAAACCTGTATGATGATGATTCAGTTCGTCTCAATAGTTCCAAATCGTTTCGACAAGATAGATGCCTTCTCAAGATCAAGAGTGGTTCAGGCATAGCGGTATGTTGCTCTCCCTTTCTCTCCCCCTCTATATACAAATATATATGTATATAAAGTGAGAGAGAGAGAGCAACATGCTCCTACGCCCGAACCACCCTTAATCCCATTCAGGCGCGAATAACAGGAAAACTCAAGATCACTCCATGGCTGCATGCTGTCAATTTATTATCGGCAGCTCCGCATTCCGTAGGGGAGATGTTTACGATTTAACACGTTTTCAGCATTCTTGCAGACATCTAGACTATCATGACAAGTCACTAGTTCACACGCATTTCTACAGGAGCCTACCTAACGAAAGAGTTCAACACTACTAAATTCCCACAGTTGCAGCATTATTCATGCGTATTAACGGAAGAAAACGCATTTCACTTCGTGTGAAAATATGTATTTCCGTAAAGAGTATTCAACACACTTGAAGCCTCACCGAAGCAAATGTTCACATGCAGTTCCTTCAACATTCCCTTTTCGCAGTCTCGTCGTAGGACGCTCCTCCTATGGTGCAGAACAAAGAAAACGTTCATGTAGTTGGCGGCATGCGCCTACATGTAGTCGGTAGGAGAAACGATAAGCGCGGACCACATATGCACAAAGTTCGTTGCGAAAAGTTTGGCTTACCACTGACTTCTTCAATTTAAGAAAGCACACCTGACGCCTTAAGTGTAACCTATGCAGCCTACCACTCAGACTCCGTGTATCAGTTAGAATCTCGGAAAATGTATGAAGACAGCGAAGTAAACTGTTCCTGAGACTGTCCCCTTGAATTATTCCAGTAGTCATGTTACTTAGAATGCACACAAGGGAATGTAAGACAATTTCAAGTGCCGTATTATCTCTTTATTGTTATTCCGTGTGATTGCAGATGATAAAAACTGGAAACAGTGGGGGAACAAGAATAGAACCCTGAGGCACACCTTTCAGCATCGGGAACCATTCAGATACAGAAAAGCCAAATCCAAGTGGCTGCTGCTTAGTGTAAAGATCATCTGTGCGCCAACCTTGTTACAATCTGGGTTCACCCACAAGCTGAGATTCCTTATACAGAACATCCTGGTTCGACCTGTCAAAAGCCTTTAAAAATTCAAGTAAACAAATGCGAACGGACTTCCTCTGCTCAGGACAAGTTGTTTCCAAATTCCTAAGCCAAAAGGTTTGCTGCCTCGGAAGAGGTGTGGAGAATCTGTGATCCTGTGTACTAAGTGAACCATTACTCTTCCGTTCAATCAGTAAGCACAACAAGCCGTTATTCTGCGGCAGAGTTATACGAAGATGTACCTGATAGTTTGCCTGTCATTTGGGATTTTTATAGTGCATCTGTCACGGATGTTCTTGTGATTTTGTCAGTCTATACAGCTACTAGTGACCTTTTATCGATTCCAAGAAAACCACCTGCATCGTACAAGGCTATGGGTGCATGGACAACCCAAGAGGAGTAAAACTTGTCGCCCCCTCGTGCAGTCAGCGGACCAGCAAGTTTTACTCTTCTTGGGTTGAGCCAAGCGCGCCTAACATAACACGATGTAAACAGTTCCCTTGGAATCAGTGTAGGAATCCAACACAATCACAGTTTCCCCTTCCTTGCTTCCGTGTGAACATTCAGGAAATATAACTGCAGCCATCGTCTTTAGAAACCACAAGGGATAGTTTCTCTATGATTGCACCTACAAGTCACGTGAATCTTATTCTAGGTTCCTTGTCATGATGGGGTTCTACTGACTCTATATAATAAGGAACTTGCTGTAACATCATATAAATACTACGAAAGCTGACTTTTTTACTGTCATACGTCAACCATTTCAATACCAAATGTTCAATGTCTGGATGAATTCTCGGCTCCTTCTCGCCAATAGGTAGGTGAGAGGCTAGCAGAAGATCCACTGCATCCCTTTGCAATGCTCCATTGAGGAGCATATATACAATAATTCTATCACGGAACACAAATGCCCTGATGCATTCAAAATCTAAATCCCCAGTGTGAATGAAAATACAGACAACGGATTATTGCAGACTGCCTACTATAAGACTACGTGATCAACAATAGGACTACCCATTGCAAAAAAACAGATAAATATGATATACATGTATATATTGGTACACTTAAGACTGGTGGTAACCTAATATATTCCTTTAACAACTCAGCCACATTTTTACTTCATGAAAAGCACCTAAGGTGTTAGCGACGAAATATTTTACCGAATGCACCTAATTCATTATAAATTCACATTATGAATAAACAATTTACCTAAACACAGTTACGATGCCACAAACAACTACAACAAGTCAGCTTACAGATAGTAGGCTGGTACAAACATGCCAAGTGTAACGCAGCTAGACAACTCGACACACTGCGGGGCAAATCTAACAGCTAAGTTAAGAAAACCACACCAAAGGAAGATATAAAGTGAAATTACTTCAAAACAACCTCGTCTCATAGACTATTTGAACAAAATATTGACCGGAAATGTCAGCTATACAACACTAAGTTTACAACACAACATGCTGTTTACTGCACTACCCTTCATTCAACCCATTAGTTTGTCACACCTGAAATTCGAAGATGTGAAGGTCATTACAGAGTCTTAGATACCCGAGCGCTCAACTTGGAAGTGAGGTGTCATTTGGCAATTGATGATCATATAAGTTCATTTAGAACGTAAGCAATATGAAAGTAATTGGCTTAAAATTATCGTTTTCCACAAAAAATATTACGTTGCAGTTCGATAGGCTTGTCTTATACTTCAGGTTCACACTTCTCTCTTCGAGTTTCCGACCAGTGAAACGCATTGTCTGTCTAGATTGCTACTGTTCCGTCGGTTGACGTAATTTGAAAACTAGCTATTGTGATGTGAGGTCAGCTTCTGACGAAATTGATGGAGATGGAGCCATACTGTTACCAATTAAGCGACTATCCTAGCCACATGCCCCACTCAGACCAGCGACTGAATTAGTGACGGTAAGTACACAAAAGACGAAAAATCTCAGTTCTGAGGCTGTTAGTGTCACTGAACTAGACCTTGGTCAACTTGCCACACCTTAATGTGAGAAAGGACAATCAATTAAGGCTGTACCTTGTTAAAAAGCCAGTCATAGTCCTATCAACACTACACCGAGCCAAGAAAACGCTGCAGTCTTTGGAAGGCCTGTGATCTTCAACCGAGTGAATGAATGCAGAGACTCAGAACCGCGTGATTGTTTCGAACATGGCAGTTGTAAAGTATAGATTTTGGTGAACAGGCTGTTACCGGAAAGTATACCAAGAGTCACACCAATGGTGATATGAAAGGGGGCAGTGTATACCAAAGACAGATTTCGTTAACCCAAAGTCATGTTCGTGTAAATAGGTGAGAGGTATCCTATTCTGAAGACTGCTCGTCGACTTAGAGGAACTAGAGTGTTCATGAGCATGGATTTGTCTATTGTGGATCGAATCAAAGAGCGAAAAGAAGAAGCAGGACTGAAATGCAGGCTAGGAGCGGAAGAAAAAGATCTGAAAGTGATGAATTTTCGCACACTTAGGTTCCGGAAACATGATGTTGAGACCTCTATGGATAGGAATAAAACTTCCTTAAAGTGGCTTTGTCATCTGGAATGAAAATGCACGTAGTCACCAAAACGAACGAACCGAGCTTAGTAATGTAATAAGCGTAGAAAGCCCTTACATCACTGGTATTTCAGAGTTAGGTCTCTCGTTTGGGACAACAGATGGTGAAACACACATGGACTCGTCCCTCCTCGTAGTGATGGATTAGCACACAAATTTGATGGTCATCCTTTTCACACAGAATACCTTAACTGTAAGTCATAGAAACGTTCCCAAGCGAGCGCACGACATGTGAAACGTTGCATCAGCAAGCAAAATATAAAAAAAATAATGTCAACATAATCTCAGCATCTCCAAATTCAGAATGTGAGGTGGGAGACTTACTCCTGAATAAAGTGACTCTCTGGACAGAGTTCCGGACACCTAATTGAAGAAGACTTCAACGCACCATCAGGTGACTTGGATAGACTAAAAACGGAAGCATCACGTAACTCACTTGATCAGTAACAAAATAAATTTTCTTGGCTCACATACAATACAGTAGGGCAGCGACCCGATGCAAACACCTGCATAATCCATCAGTTAGCATTCTCTGATATAGATGCTGCAAGTTTCATCTGACACTTGGGATAATGCTGTTGTCGTATTCAAATTCACAGCAGCCTGTTGTGCTGGGTTGGCAACTCAATAAGACCCAATGTGTGGAAAGTGAACAATGCAGCCTTCTCGGAGGACTGAGCAGTAAATTCATGGGCCCAAGTTAGGAGTGTATGATGCTCCTTTTACTAGTTGAATACACGAGTGACTCGACTGTTCACCCCAAAGACTGTCTCGAGGGTGTGAAAACGTTATCCTCCCTAGAGAAACCACAAAATCCAAGGTTTTCCACGACGCAAGACGTGTTTGAGTCCAACCACTCACAACAGTAATCCGAGATGAGGAAACATTACACAGAAGCTCAGTCCGCCGGTTCGGTATATGCTTTGAAACATGTACTGCTCAGGCTGCCATGTAATAGCCGAAGTGGTTGTTCTCTTATGTGCACTATAGGAATTAGACGTATTGAGATATACCCACCATGAACAAAGGGACAGAAAATAAGTATTCATTGAAGAAGATACGGGAGAAACAGAAGCTGAGGTAGGGTATTTTGCTGAGATACTTCTCCAGGGACTTTCTATGGGAACTAATTCGGCAGTGAAAGCATTGAAATTCAACAGAAAAGCATTCAATCGATATTGCTATAATGGCTGCGTACTGTTGATGTAGACAAGTCAACGGAACCACATTAGCCGCCCTTCAGGCTACCCAAAGATCTTGCACCCTATGTAGCTAGCTTATTGACTACCATATTTGGACTATCAGTGAGTGCACACTCCCCTATGACTGTAAAGACACCATAGTCATTCTCCTCCGCAAAAAAGATTATAAGAGGCACAAACCAAAATAGAGACCTATAAGCTTCACTAATACTTCAGGTAATATCCTAGAAAGAGTAATCAAGAAAGTCAGTACGATTTACTCGGAAAGCAACAATCTGTTGCCTCATTCACAACATGGATTTTGCGGAAGTGTATTTTCCTTGCCGGACCTCCCACGGTCAGCAAACGTTGGGTTAAATTTAAGGATGATAGGATACCTAAAGATGTCATTTTCATAGACTTCGGTAAGGCGTTTGGTAGGGTGCCTCATTTTAGGTTGCTCATGAAGGTAAAAAGTTTCGAAATCACTGGCAATCTATTTGCGTGAAGCGGTGAGTTCCTTGTTGGTAGGAGACAAAGAGTAAGGATCAATCCTCTCCTCCCCTCTTGGGAGCCGGTAGAGCGTGAGTGCGGCAAGGTCTAGTCATGGATCCCCTACTACTTCTCCTGCAAGTAAATGAACTGCCGAAAGTCACGAAATCTCCGTGGTGCTCCACGCTGATGACGCAAAAATCTGGTAAGAGATTTGGTATGATGAAGATCTAAGTCCGTTTCCAATGTCCAGTATCACTTTACGAGCTAGTGTACACGAATTAATTTCGACGCACTCGCTTCTAGGTTTTGCAGAACGGTTCCAGGTCCAGTCAGACTTGATCAGTCTGTTAACCTAGTCAGATAAGTGTCTGATGCCCATCAACGTGGGTAACTGCGTGAGCATGCACATGCGGTGTACAGACTACAACACCTGCGATATTGGTGGGACTCCTGTGCCCCCAGTATTGACCAACAATGGCTTAGAGGTTACATTAAGTCATGATTTGAAGACCACAATGCACCATCAATTGGTCGCAGCCCGGAGTTTTAGGACACATCTAGCACTACACAGAAGGTTTACAAATATAGATGGTGATGTTTCCGATACCTTATACATGTCTTTAGTTAAGTATAAACTGGAAAACTGTGCACAGATGGTAAATCCTTATCTGAAAGATGACTCAAACCTTCCGGAAAGGGTTCAGATGACGACCACATGTATGATCCACGCGATGGTTAGCCTGACTTATGAATGACGAACTATCGAGCCGAAGCTCTTCTCTTTATCGTACCGAGGACAAAAGAGAGATCTAACCATGGCATACAGGATTTTAAGAAATAACTTAGAACCTAGTCTATCTTCTGTTTTCTTTCCCATCACGTCGGGCCACCTCAGAGGACACAGCAGGAAGGTGAGAAAGCAAAGGACGAGCATCGTCTCCGTAAAGTACTGATTCTCACATCGAGTAATCAACTCTTGGGACTGACCCCTAGAAGAGGTGGCGTCCGCGTCACCAACTGTTTTTGAGGAAGGGCCGAGATCAACTGGGAAAGGATTAATATAGGCTCGTGACCTCCTGCCCTCAGACTATGAATCCAATGCTTCAAGCCTAGTTTAAGTTGAAATTTCCCGACACGGTAGTTTAAAGGTATCTGAATTAACAATCCTTTGCTTTAAGAAGGTGTTGACGAAGAGTATGCATAAGTTATGAAGTGAGAACACTGAAATAGGAAGAACGGCGTGGTAACGACGCAGAAGAGCTCTGTTTTTACATTGGTGTGAAAATAGCCTCAACTTTTAAGTGTAGTAGGCTATGTGACTTGTATCAATCCTGGTTGTATATGTCTCTCTGAAGATCCACTTTCTTTTTGAAAGCGTTCACCGAAGCATCTGCCGCCACAACCTCCAGTTGTTGAACACACCGTGAGAGAATCTCAGTTCCACTTGTAGTTCGTGCGGCCGTGCCTTCCAAACCATTTTATACTGATCTCTTAGATAATCAATCCTAGAAGAAATAAAAGAATTGTAGAGATCAACATCCAAGTCGTTATTTGAGGTATGACACACTGATGGATCACTTTTCTCTGCGACATGAAAGTGGGAACCGATTCAGACCATTAAGTGCTTTTTAAGGGGAAGGTGCTAGAGTCCTGTCACCAACTTTATACCCACTTTTTGAACGCATCTCAGTGTCTGGTCCTTTTCTGAAGCCTGTATACCGTATCCTGAGTGAGGTCTCACATAAGTAGCAAATACGACTGATATTTTGATCAGATTATAAACATCCAGGCCGTAGCTATTTCGAATATCCCGAAAGAAGTCGAGCGCCGAGTCAGGTTGATTCGTTATATAAGTAAGATTTACCTAATCCCAGCGTGTTTAGAAAATCGAAAACAAGATTTTTCTGAACGTTCCGCTGTGTATGCCGCAGCTTCTTCAGCAGTAGCAGATAGTTATCTAAATATATTCCTCCATTGGAGCACTCAGGGGCCCCAGAGTTTGGCCATAGTGTGTACACTGCTTTGACTGCAACCACGTTGCAATATGCTGTTGCTTTCAAGTTGTGATGGATAAAAACCCCTAGATCCTTTTATTGCCGACCAAAAGCAATGTTGACCTATGTAATGAGCAAGTGTATTAAGGCCCTTGACTGCACTTTTGTCGAAGCTTTTTTCAAACTCAAATGTTTAGACCACTCAGTCAATTCGTCCAAGTTGACCTGAAGCCCTGAAGTACCTTCATTATTATGAAAAACCTTGCAAACCTTATCATTATCTGCAAATGAAAGAGGTATCAGGTAAGTATGCGTTCGTTTGGCGAACCTCGTTTTCGTAGAATATTGGTCCTGAATTTGAGCATTAATCTCCTTTTACCGA